ATGCATTTTTTATTCCAACAGTCCAAAATTACAAAAAAATATAATGAGGCATTCCACAGCTTTTAATAATGTCTCATGTAATTTTGCTCAAGGCATGTATAATTAATTTTATTTTATTTATTCATTCATTCATTTATATCTCCTTTCTAAACTGTACATCTCCCTCAAAGAAGGGCAATTAATTAATTAATTAATTAATAACTTTACTCTTGGAAAGTTTTTACTTATTTTAAAAAATAGCACTTTTACTTGCTATTATAGTTCATTTTAAATGTTAAAAGGTAATTTCTTGGATATCCTTGGGAAGGCACACATTTTCTTAGATATTTCTAAATATTATTATCCCAGAAGAGAACGGAAGTACTGTATACTCACAATGCAGCTGCAGCTGCCTGGCTTTTCAGAAACTTCCTCTCTTCACTAAAGGCAACCTGGCTCAGCAAATCCAGTTCATCTTGAACATGAGCCAGTTTCTCTTGGATTAGTTTTTCTAATGGAATATTACAACATATAAGTCCTTTATGGCACATCACATGTAAGAATTCTTACCTGCCTTGAAAACTGAAGGTACTTTCAAAGTACATTAGAAATTAACTTTGTGGCAGCGCTATATTAATGCTGGGAGAGATCTCAGGCATTGGAGAAAAGCTTCATTCCTTTATAATGAGACACTGCCATAACCATAGCTTTCCAGAGAGAGAAAATTATACTTGAATATAGTTTCAAGTTCGGTATTAGAAAGGATAACCCATTATGCCAGTATAAATCAGAAACTATAGTGTCCAGCCTTCATATGAGTTTAAATTTAATAAATAAATAAATAAATAAATAAATAAATAAATAAATAAATAAATAAATAAATGATAGGAATGTGCAATATATATATATATATATAGCACTATCACTTTATTGACTTTACAGATGGTCCTTGACTTACAACCATTCATTTAGTAACCATTTGAAGTTACAATGGCACTGAAAAAAGTTATATATGACCAGTTTTCACACTTACGACTGTTGCAGCATCCCCATAGTCATGGGAACAAAATTCGGGTGCTTGGCAACTGACATGTATTTATGACAGTAACACTGTCCCAGGGCCATGTGATCACCATTTGTAACCTTCCCAGCTCTGACAAGCAAAGTCAATGGGGAAAGCAAGATTCACTTAATGACTGCAAGATTCACTTAACAACTGCAGTGAGTCATTTAACAACTGCAGTGAGTCATTTAACAAAAAAAGTCACGAAATGGGGCCAAACTAACTTAACGATTGTCTTGCTTAGCAACGAAAATTTTGGGCTCAGTTGTGGTCATAGTTGAGGACTACCTGTAGTGCAAAACCATTCAGTTTTCTGTGTATTATGTGTATTTACAATCAGATCACATTTTCAGAACACCTAGGGGCTTTTGCACTGTGTTCTACAGAGGGCTAGCCCCAAAGGGGATTTGGTGTCATTTTATTTTTTATTTATTTTATTATTTCAATTTATATCCCGCCCTTCTCCCGAAGGACTCAGGGCGGCTCACAACATTATTTAAAAGACAAAGAAAGACCCACACACCCCACCGAATAAAACCAAATTAAAACCAATATTTTAGTGTTGTGGTGATTAAAATTTCTAAAAAACCCAATTTAAAAATCCTCCCTAGGCCAGGCCCGCTTGTTGGAAAAGCCATGTCTTGAGGGCGCGGCGGAAAGTAAGGAGATCCGGAATGATCCGGATCTCAGGGGGTAGATCATTCCAGAGGGCAGGGGCACCCACAGAGAAGGCCCTCCCCCTGGGGGTCGCCAGCCGACATTGCTTGGCCGACGGCACCCTGAGGAGACCCACTCTGTGGGAGCGTACCGGTCTATGGGAGGGAATCTGTGGCAGAAGGCGGTCTCGGAGGTAGCCAGGTCCTATGCCATGGAGCGCTTTAAAGGTGG